AAATAAATACATACATAATACATCCATCTTTTAAAAAAAATAAAAGAAAGAAATTAGACAAATTCACATGTGAAAGGTGACCTGGCCGATAGGGCAAGACGTTCCAGCAGCTAAGCTGATTGCTGTTGGATCCCTGGTGGCAAAGTCCGGACAGAGGTCACTGGGAGATGGAACACAGCAATAGTGAGAAAAGGAGCAGGAGTTTCTCACCTGAGGACTTCAGAAGACTTGTTCTTTCCTGACAAGAAACCCTGAGGCATTTGACAAATGCTACAGAATGGGAAAGAAACTAGAGAGAAATGCCAACCCAGAAAACACCAGAGAACTGAAAAGAATATACACAGAGAGTGGAGACAACAGAAAAAAGGTGGCTCAAAGAGAGAAGCAAAGTGCTATGGTGATTAAAAATAAAAGCCCCAGACCACAGGGTAGCTACAAGCAAGGAAAAAACAAAAACATTCAGCCATTCAGTGAGCTACAGCCATTGTCAACCTGGTCAACCACTTAGCAGGGATGGCACTTGGCCTTCCAGGTCATTGTGCCAGATTCTGGAACCATGTGGGTGATCACAAAAGAGTTCCTAGTGGAATGCGGGTGCATAGTCTACTGTCTGGGTCAGAGAAACCTGTCTTGTATTAGCTGCCTGTCTGTTGCTGTGACTGAACACTCGGCAAGAACAACTTAAAGAAGGAAAGGTTTGCTATGGCTCATGGTTTAAGGGGGTATGGTCTATCATGGTGAGTAAGTTGTAAGCTTGTGGTTTAAAGGGATACGATCTATCATAGTGGGTAAGTCATGGTGGCAGGAGTATGAAACAGATAGTTACACAGCATCCATACCTGGAAACAGAGAAGGATGAACATTAGTGCTCGGCTAGCTCCCTTTTTGTCCAGTCCAAGACCCCAACCCATGCAATGGCGCCACCTATCTTGTAAAGTGGGTCTTCCCAACCAAGTTGGCTTAACTTAGAAAATCTCTGGCAGACATGACCAGCGATTTGTCCCCGTGGTGATTCTCGGTCCTGTTAATACTGACAAGCAGTACTAACCATCACACATCCACAACATAACTGGTTCTACTCTGGTGGTCCTCGTAGATGGAGAACCAGGGACAGCATCCCCCATCTGTGTTCACACTCAAAAGCATCACCAGGAACCTGGGAGAAGGGGGTCTGAGAAGAAACTGAGTTTAGGGAGAGAAGTTTGGGGAGTTCAAAAAGGACTAGGTCTGTGTGGTAAGGGCAAGGGAGGAGATAGTGGGGTAAGGAATGATGCTAGGAACTAGGTGGTATGGTGGTAACTCTTTTCTAAGCCCAATGCCCACTCCGGGCTCTCTTCCTAAGGCAGGAAAATGAAGTGAAGAGGGAGAGCTGAGGATATGGCTAGTAATCAAAGGAGAACACAACCCCTTGCTATCTTTTCTCATCCAGTGGGAAGCTGCTGGTAGAGGCACTATTCTGAATCCTTCCCCTGAGCGCAATCCATCAGCAGCTACTCAGAGAGATTCTCACGCATCCCCTCTAAAGTGAGACCAATGCTCTGTGCAAGGAAGGAGATCCAGCCATAGGCCTCTAGGGAAGTCATCAGATTGAGAGTGGGCAAGGACGTACTAAGCTTAGACACATCCTGGTACTAGCACACAATTAATGGAATCAACCAAACGTGCTGTTTATGGAAAGGTCTTTGGCCCGGAAGTATCTCCCACTCACTGAAGAGTCAATCTCCAAAGATGTTCTTGGATCAAAAAGAAAATACTCCTGAAGAATTAAGGCTGGACACTATCTTACATCCAAATCTTAATGCATTGGTTTTCAACTAAATTCTTTTTTTGCTTTACATCTCAGCTGCAGGAAAACCAAATGGGATGTGTTGGGTGGTGGGTGCAGAAACAAGAACCGCATCTCCTGCTGACACTGTGGACACAGCATAGAGACCCCAGGAAGAGAGCCCAGGATCTTAGCCCATGGAAGGGACGAGTAAGAATTACAAATGCAAACCTGGACTCTAAACAGAAATAGCATCCTTGAGGGGACTGGGGCTCTCAAATCACTTTAATAGCTTCATGTTCAGAGGGCAGATGGGCTGCGTGGTTGCTGTTGTTGGCTAAAAAAAAAAAATTCTTCAAATAAGGAAAATACTTCCCCCTGTCCAGCTGATTTGTAGTAATGAAATCTCCAGATGAGGTGGATTTTGCTATGCCCAGCTCATCTCTGCTTGTCATCAGTCACTGTGCCCAGGAAAAGGCCGAGCTTTGTAAAATGGCTTGCCTTAATCACATGGCTGTCACCATGAGAGAGAAATATTGAACAATATATAGTCATTGGAATGCAAAATGAATTTCCCCCTGGAATTGACCATATTTGCACAAAGCCAGTCATCTGGTTAGCATAGACTTTCTCTGCTCCCACGTGAAGCTTGGAAACGCTTGACTCTAATTCAGCCTTCCCTGACTTACCCATCTCACTTTTTCATGTATACCATCCTCTTGCCAAGATATTAGTCTAGGAGATTCTGAGAGTCCCTGAAATTAGACCGTCTAAGGCCAAGTCTTAGTGCTGCCAGAGACTACCTGAGTGTCCTTGGTTGACTTACTCGACCTCATTAAGGTTTGTTTGTTGGAAAAATAGAAACATTAATAATAAGTATGTCATTTGGTATGCGAGCATGTGTTTGTACACACAAATGTGTGTGGATGCATATAGATGCACACATGCTTGCATGTGTATGTGCATGAGTGTGAATGTCAGGAGGCAACAACTTCAGGTCTTATTTCTTAGGCACTATCCATGTGTGTGGAGGAGTGGAAAACAAGTTGTCTCCCTGGATAGAACTCAATAAACAGGCTAGGCTGGTTGACCAGAAAGCTTCAAGGATCCACCTGTCTCCACCTCTTTAGGGCTGGGATAAGTATATGCTTCCCATCTGTATTTTTTTAATATGAGTTCTAGGCACCAAAGTCAGGTCTTCATGCTTACAAGGCAAACATTTTACTGACTGAGTCATCTTCCCAGTCCAGAAGTCACACCACTCACAATATTACTAATAATAGTTAAATTATATGCAAAAAGTTAAGCGCAGTGCCTGACTCAAGACAGATAATTGATGACTCTAAACTTTGCTTTAATAATGAGACAGCGCTGAAAACTTGGAACCTTAAGAATAAAACTTCCTCAGCTGTATGGTTTTCCAAAGTAAACACCTGTCAATTCTTGTGTGTCTGTGATTGCTCTGAGACATGGTTGAACTTGACAAGATTTGTACTTTGGTGATAAATGGTCCCATCATCTGCTGCACCCTTCTGTCTGTTTTGACTTCCATGGTGTGTAAGTTGTGTCTCTGAGATCAGGATGCTGTTGGCTGGGGCAGTCTCTAAGAGCATCTAGCGTGCATGCCGTGTGTCCCGAACTCTGATGGGTCTGCAGCTCAGAGAGGAAGGAAAAGAAAGAAAATCAAGACTATGGTCTCTCTGCATGGATAGAAAAGGCGGCCCATGAAATCCCACCCTCACTTGAGGACCTCCTAGCCGCGATGGTTGCTGGAGGAGGCAGAGTACTGGGTTTCTTCAGGAATGCATCTCCTGCTGGACTGCCCCGCTCCAGCACACAGGAGGCACTGAGCAGGCTCACTGAGTTCTAGGAGGAGTACATAAAGTTGGGAGGGAAAAGAAGTGAGTTGTGGGAGAAGTTGGAGGGGAGGATGTAAGGGTGGATTGGATCAAAATACGTTGTATTCATGTGCCAACCTCTCAAATGATAAATTAAAATAATAATAAAGGTCGTCGGCAGAAGAAAGGATAAAGGCGGTGTGGGGCCAGGAGAAAAACTTTCATTTAACTCCCTGCTTTGTTCAGAAGGAAAGACGGAAGCCCGCGGGTGTCATAAGATGTCCCCAAAAGATAAAACCGGACTCTCTGAATATGGTGGACAATGAGGGCTGCTGAGAAGCCAAGGACAATGCCACTGGGTTTTGATCCTACTTCATGTTCTGGCTTTGTGGGAGCCTAGCCAGTTTGGATGTCCACCTTCCTAGACCAGGATGGAGCGGGGAGGACTTTGGACTTTCCACAGGGCAGGGAACCCTGACTGCCCCTCAGACTGGAGAGGGAGGGGGAGAGGAGTGGGGGGAGGGGGAGAAGAGAGGGAGGAGGGGGGAAAAGGGAGACGGGGAGAGAAATGGGAGGCGGGGAGGAGGTGGAAATTTTTTTTCAATAAAAAATTATATTTAAAAAAAAAAAGATGTCCCCAAAAACCACTCGCCTAACTGGACATCAGACTGTTACTGGTAGCAAGGGAAGAAAGGAGAGCAGCTCAGGAGTGAAACAGGGGAAGGCAGAAAGGACTGTGAAGCTGTTCCTACAAACCCCTCGGAAAGGAATGAAGAGGAACATTTGGGGGTACAGAAAACCATACAATGCCTTTTCAGGGAGCTAATAAATGTCTGGGGTGGAAAAATAAGGAGTGCTGGGCTGGTCCTTCTGTTCACAGAGGATAGGATCGGGTAATCACAGTTTTTTCTCTCTGTGTGACAGTCCTGGCTGCCCTGGAACTCACTCTATAGACCAGGCTGGTCTTGAACTCATAGAGATCCGCCTGCCTCTGCCTCCCAGGCACTGGGATGAAATGCCTGAGTCACCGGCTCAGCGAGGGTAATCACATTTTAATGTGGATGTGGGTTTGAATGTACTCCTACCTTATTGTATAACTCAGGAAAACCCGTGTGTCTAGAATCTACCAAAAATGGCATGCTGCACTCTCTAAGGCTTGAGGAAACCAACACGTGATTGTCTATCACTGAGAGAGGGAGCTGGTACAACCCTAGCAGTCTGAAATGATCTTTGAAATCATAACAAAGGGGTTATCAGCAAATATGAGGCACTTGCGTGCATCGGGAAGCTTTTGAAACTTTTTAAAAGTAGAAAAAGATGTGTGTTGGTTTGTGGTTTTAAGTGATTGGCCCCTTGACCTGCCAATCATCTGTGTAATCCTTTCCTGTCTCTTTCAGGTTCCTTCTTCCCTGATTTCAAGCCCTCGGAAACCGTTTTCAAAATAGTATTTTGGCTTGGCTACCTAAACAGCTGCATCAACCCCATCATATACCCTTGCTCCAGCCAGGAGTTCAAGAAAGCCTTTCAGAATGTGCTGAGAATCCAGTGTCTCCGAAGACGGCAGTCTTCAAAGCATGCCCTGGGCTACACCCTGCACCCGCCCAGCCAGGCCGTGGAAGGACAGCAGAGAGACATGGTTCGTATCCCCGTGGGCTCGGGAGAGACTTTCTACAAGATCTCCAAGCCAGACGGAGTCTGTGAATGGAAGTTTTTCTCTTCCATGTCCCAGGGATCGGCAAGGATTACAATGCCGAAGGACCAATCTGCCTGTACCACAGCCAGGGTGAGAAGTAAAAGCTTTTTGCAGGTCTGCTGCTGTGTGGGGTCCTCGACCCCCAGCCTCGAAGAAAATCACCAAGTTCCAACCATTAAGATCCATACCATCTCCCTCGGTGAAAATGGGGAGGAAGTCTAGAGAACGGGAAAGGTCACAGGAAGAGGGGTGATGCTAGGTACCTCCGATTCCCTCTCAGAAGGCCAGTAAATTCTTGAAGGACAATCCAGGACCGTTCAAGGAGGTCCCCATCTGGGAAAGGGGAGAGGGAGGGCACCAGTTCCCGGGGACAGTGGGGGAGGGCACAGGGTAAGAGGCAGGGTATTTGGTAACTAATTGGTTCTGAATGATGGAAGGCCCGTTTCCCTTCAGCTCAAACCCTCAGCCACTCTCTGGTCCTGCTTTCCACAACTGACCCTTTCAACAAGAAATACCATGGGAAAGAAAATTTCATCCACAATCCAAAAGACTATAAATACAGGATGGTGATTTCATTGTGAATATTTTGAGCACACACTCTAAGTTTGGAGCTATTTCTTGATGGAAGGGCGGGTATTTTATTTTCAGGCTGAACCCACTGGCAACCACATTTGACATTTCTGGAGAGGGGGCCTAGAGAGAAAGGAGTATAAGGTAGTGGCCAGCATGCTTTAAAGTGAGTTTGAAAGCGCCACCAGAGTCTCAGCTTGGGTGAACCTGGACAGGGGTCTTCGCAGAGGTTGCTTTTTGATGGGTTCCTTATCCCCAGTTGAAACTAAGGCACATTCTCCATCCTTGGATCCAAGGAGTATGAGCGGACTAGCCAGGGAAAGCATGCTTTTCTCACGAGCAGAGGGTATGGCCGGGGCAACAGTTGCAAGACCTGGTGAAGGAAGGCTTTCTTCTTTTACCTCCTTAAAGACCAAGAAGCTGGAATGTGGAGGATGCTAACATCAAGCTAATGCCCTGTTGTTCTGCCTCTTCTTTGATAGGACAAACCACTCGCCCTTTCCAGGACTCCACAATGGAAACTCAGGAATGGCAGAAAACTGGCTTCCATTTCCTCTCACCTGCTTCCTTGCTGTGTAGTGAATGGGGCTCACTGATTGCACATAGAGGGAGTCTCAGGGTCCAGGCACACCCCTCCTAAGCTTTCAAACATACTGATGCTCACCCTCAAACATTTCAATTGATTGCCAAATAACTGCCCAAAATTGATTCCTACTTTTTTCAAAACATATATATATATATATATATTGCATTCTTAATAATTCACATTATTAGGAATGGTGACCATGGCAATCACACATAAAAATTAAAACATGTCTGTCATTCCTCCATAAGAATTGTAAAATAAGGTTTAATGTTTGTGGCACCAACCCTAATAAGAATCACAACTGCCAACATTTTTCATAACTTCTTCCCCTAAGAGCATCTGAGCAGGTTGAAGTTACTATGAAACCTCCGCAGGGAGACTCCTGGTCCTTGCAGCTTTCCTTTCCCTCCTTACATCAAACTGAACTCTGCCATAAGTCTTTCTACAGGCAAATCTTTATCCACATCGCAATGAAGGAAGTGCATGCGTGTGGCTGTGGGTTTTGTGATCGGTTGTCTTGGAGCTTTGAATCTGACCTGCTTCCTCTACCCTTTCCTGGGCCGTGTCTTCTTGTTGGCCAGCAAGAGAGTTTCTTGGCCTTGTGTTCTTCTGAAATTGGCTTTTGCTACTGAGAAATTGGCTGGGATTTTAGGCTTTTCTTGGGCTCTCTGCATAGCTCCTAACAACTCTACCAGATGTGAGTGTCAGAGTATCCAGGAAGAACTCCGGAATGCAAGCCTGGCTCATCTTCTCTATATAAGCTTCCTTGTTCCAATTAACTTCCTTCTACAGCTGCATTCTAAAACTGACCCTTGTTCTTGTCATCCCCCCATAGAAGAACATCCTCATGGGGAGGAGCAGAGCCTTTCTTCAGCAGAGTACCATCCTGCGCCACCGATGATCTTTAAATCTCTGGGTGAAAAAACACAAATGTTAAAAGTGGAAAGCTTAGGCACACTAAAAAGCAACCATTAATGCCAGTTCTGGTCCTCAGATAAAAACCAATAGTATGCATGTAGCGCTATCCGTAAACAACTGCCTGCACACCCCGCTGGCATCCCTCCCTCTTAAGGAAGCAAGTATCTAACAGCCTTTTCCATTCCCACAGCAGGGTGCTGACTAGAAACACAACAACTTTATAAGAAATTGATAATGTTACCAAAAAACATGGTGACAAAAGTGGGGTAAACAGCATAAAAGTGGAATGTCTTTTTAATCATCGATCAAAAAAAAAAAAGTCTGTACCTTTAAGTGTGCCAAAAACTATCTAAAATGCTTACAGCCAAACGCATGATTGTCATATTTATATTCACGTGTTTACTGCTTCTATTTGGAGTTTTAAGAATTTACCCAGAGTAACCCCAGTTAAAATGTCCTCTCTTGCGTGTTCTAAGAAAACGATCGCTTTGGGATTGTCTCTCTGTCACAAAATCAAGGGGGCGTTGTTATGGTAGGCGACTTTGAGACTAGTGTGAGATTCAGACCGTGTGTATGAAGAGGGACCTTGGCTCTCTTCACCCGAAAGTTTCTCCGGGGCATCAGAGATGCAGCTCAGTTGGTGGGGTGCTTGCTTGACATACACAGCCCAGCAGCACCTAAAACTGAGAGCGGTGGCTCATGATTGTGAACTCAGCATCCAGGAGGTAAAAAGAGGAGAATCAAGAGTCCAAGGTTAACCTTGGATACATAGTAAGTTTGAGCAAAGCCTAGACTACATGATACCCTATTAAGAAAAAACTCCAGGCTATATCACTGCAAGAAAAGCTCTTCCTTGTCATAGTTCTCATCCCAGATTGCTTCTGCACAGAATCACTCTGCATGTGATACCCTTTGCAAAGCACTGAAGCTTCCAGCTCTCAGCACTGACTCCGACTGGCCCATTCAAGACAGAGTATGATAGCTGAGCTATAAGCCCTCTCTTACGGCGGCTTCTCTTAGCTCCATCACATGTCAGGGATCAGTGACTCTGATCCTCTAGAAACTCTTCCATTGCCAGTTTTAAAATGAACTCTGGTGGTTGAGAAGGGCTAAGGACTTGCCCATGGTCAAGAAGGAACTGTGGCTCAAGCCTGAGCTTCCCTCTAGCTGTTCACCTTCTACACAGTACCTCTGCTTCGCACACTGGGACAGGAGAGTTTGAATTGGAGATTCTCAGGAGACTATTCCACACCCCAACTTTAATGGAATTTATTCCCTTGGGGTTTTTTCTACAAATTAATCTTAGCAAATACACCATCAAACCTTGTATCTATAATTCCAACGATTAGAGAGCATTCCCATCTCCAGGACATAGTCCTCCCAGATATGGCTAAAACCTTACAAAGCGGATAGGTTGTACTAAACCAGGACAAGATGAGCATATACCCGAACATGGAAGAATTAGACAAGAATGGAAAGGCCCAATGATAGCTGGGACACATACTGAGTGGTGTGTGGAAGTCAACATGGGCACTTAGGAAGTATGCCTTTTCGAAAATATATACAAACAGCTGCAACACCAGTTCCCACACACCTAAATTCCAACCTTTATTTTACAAGATAGCAAAAAGGGAAGAGGCCAGAGACATCCTACCAGGAAGTACAGAGCCTATGCTGGGCACGTGACTTTCCTGGATGCCACTCAGAACGCTGGTCTCTGGGTAAGCCAGCCACTGGCAGTTTTTGAAGACGGGCCATTGGTCAACAGCTGTGCATGTTAGCTTGCTTCCTTTTCTATATGAGCCACCACGAAGACCTTTTAGCACAATAGGTTGTGGGGTGAAAGCCCGGGAACAAAACTATTTTAGGAAGCATTTTCTTGAGCAGGTAATTGTCCCTGTGTTAGTCACCGCTCCTTAGTCACCTCTAACAAACATTCCTCACTGCTTCTGGGGATAGCTCTGTCCCCATCCTCTTGCCAAAATATGACGCTGCCTCTCCGATGAATGTTTGCTGTCTAATTAGGGGAAGAGATGGCTCATCAGCATAGGGAACGGCGAACAGGTGGAAGGCAACAGATGAGAGGCGAGTGAAAACCAGGGCAACAAGAGGAGACAGAGGTAGCAGATGCGCAGGCATCAGAGGTGCTCATCGGTCACTCTGGTCTCTTTTTTACACTACCAGGGCTTTTAACCGTGAAACCACCTGTCCGTACACAGTTCCGAAAGAGCTCAGTTGGAACACAGCACCTGCTCTGGGCCTCCAAACTATGCTGAGGAGCTGAGCTGAGGTCACATCTTCCAAAAGCCGTGACAACAGTGGCCTCTGGCCCGCCAGGTTCCCTGCAAGATGAATGAGTGGACATGACTGTTGTGGGGGCTGGGCCGGGAAGCGAGTTAGGATCTTAGCAGCATATGAAGCCAGTCCCTGGGCAACGGTGCCATGGATGGGCTCTCATTCATGTTCCCCGGGCCCTGTGGCACATGAGCGAGGTGAGAAAGAGCCTTGCCTGCTCTCTGCGGGAGAATGCCATGTCTCAGACTAGCGCTGCTGAACCTCCAAAGGCCGTAGGGGTGTCAGGGAGCGTTGAAGGAGGAGAATGACCACAGCCGTGACTCAAAACAGGAAGGGTTAGTCATGCTTTGCCGCAACTGACAGGGAAGAAACTGTCCTGAAACTGGTGGCTTGTTCACAAAGGGCAAATAATGACCTTTTCTCTCGTGTCGCTTGAAAGTTATTGTCATGCGGTCCCTGTTGCACACTCAATGCAGTCACATTATAAGCTGGGTTTGAGGATTGTTGAGCCATGAAAAACACAGACTTAATTAGGTGGGGGAAAAAAATCTTAGCACAACTTAGCATTGCGTTTAGAGAAAAAAAAAAGATAAACAACCTGGTTTATGAATCAGGCTGAATAAAATAAATGTATCTGAAGGTCGTAGAGAAGCAGCTAAGACAGAAATTCCAACATGAATTTAGAGTTTACACACACACATTTTCCATAGCTCCCTTCTTCAGTTCCGGGTCAGAGCTCTAACTCTGACCGCACCTTCTCCCTGCCTGTCCTGGCCAACAGTTGGGAAGAACTTGTAGTACATGGTCACCCGTTCTTGTTCCCTTGGCTGACAGACAGGCACCTGTCATTCTGTCCTTTCTCCACAGATAAGCTGCTACTGATCCAGAGAAATAGCTGGGGCAGAAGGCGATTGCTCTGCTCGGTAGGGCGACGTGTCAGGCAAAGTCAGCTGTGACTGTCCCCCTAAGGTCCTCAGGAATACAAAGGTCCCAAAGGGAACCTGTGGGTCATTGGGCACACTCTGATCAGCAGTCCCCGATGGCCGCTCTCCACAGCACCACCCTGACAAGAAGCCAACGCAAGGCACAGACAGTCCCCAGTGTGCGAGCTGGCAGGGTTCTGACGGTGTGTTCAGAAGTCAAGTATGTGTTTTTCCAAGAGGCATTGTTACAAATGGGGAGGTGCTCCTAGCGGAACCAAAAATAAATAAATAAACATCTGTTTAATGTATACCAGGAGTTGGTAAGCTTTTTCTATAAATGGCTAGAAGGTAAACATTTCAGGCATGGTGGTTTAAGTTCTCAGTTTTGGCTCTTTACTGGGAGGCTATGGACAGTCCTTTAAAAATGTAGACCCATTTGTAGCTCAAAAGACAGCAAGGTTTGGACCAAATTTAGCCCATGGGCCACAGTTTTCCATCCATGCTTCACACCACCACTAGCTTGCAGTATAGAGCCAATACTGCTGAACTGTGGCTGCGGGTGATTGGCATGCTTATAAAAAATAGGTCACTGATGGGTCACCCCTGGATGAAGTCAGCATTCCCAAGCTGTATGAGTTGTTACATACAGCGGCAAGTTCACATTCTCATCCTCAGGATTCCAGGCAGGTGATAGGAGCAGAGGGAAGCATTTATCACTCCCCACATTGTGCCCTATGGGGCAGGCAGGTCAACAGAAGCCACAGTGAGTCCAGGGGTCTTCCACACTTAGAAAGCAGTCTCCCCCTATGACATCTGTCCATCTCAGAGCAGCCACTTGACCAAGACTGCCCTGAAATTTCTCCCAGGTCCTCAGAACTCATCGAAGTGGAGATCCCTAGAAACCTTCGAGGCTTCTTGAAGAGGCCCTGTGACCACAGTCCCCTGTGTTAGGGCATTTGGAACCTACTTGGAACTCATTAGGAAAAGTGACGGGACACAGAGAGCATCTTCCAGAAGAAAAATGGGAATAGAATTTTCTCTCGTGTCTCCCTCCTCCTATGTCTCCCTTTCTTTTCTCTTTCTCTGTTTTTTGTTAAATTGAAATCATTAATGAATGAAATAGAAATGGCTCCAATATCAGAAAATTTACTTAGCACTCCCTAAGAAGTGCAAAAACTGTGTTTCCCTAAGCTAATGCTTCAATGGAGGACCCCTTCCTTTCCTCTCTAGTTCTGACGGGACAGTGAGGAGCAGGGGGGTTTCCAGACACAACTAAGACTCAGATTATGTGACTTAGTGCAGCATCTGAGTATTGAGAAAGGAGACTCCAAGGCTGGGCCATGGGTAGGACAATGGAGGCAGAAATAATCTGTAAAGACCCATAACTATTGGCACCACAACCAAGCTGAGCCTGGAAAGAAAGGCCTGGGAGGTGCTGAATGGCAGCCTCCCTTCCACACCCTTTCTCCCACCTCGTGCTGTGTCTACACCCTTTGTCCTTTCTACCTTATGCTGATTCCATCCTAGCCCCATAAATCAACCCTCCACTCCTGCCAGTTTTGCAGACAATGAATGGTGTTTCATTAGGCCCCTGTCTGTGGGAAGCATGCACCATGCTGTGAATAAAAGGATAAGTTCCACAAGCCTGGACCAGAAAATGAGGCCAGCAAGGCAAGAACATCCTCAGGGCCCTGGTCCTCTCAGGACTTTGAGCCTCACCTTGGATTTCTGCCTTTCTATTCTTGGGTGATCCATCCCTCACGAAGGGCACGGGCACACTGTGAGGCCACAATTTCAGGGGCGCTTTGGCTTGGAATGGTTTCCGGAGTACTTCTAACCAACCTCTCACAATCTAGACACTTCTCCCGTTCTCTCAAACTCAACCTTATTCTCCACCATTACTTTTTGGCTCTTGCTTTTGTTCTCTCTTTCTTGTGAACTTTCTGTATTAGGAGGTCACCAGGCTCTTCAAGGCCTTGATGAACCCATTGAGTAAACTCAGTCCCCCCTTCCCATTGAGCAATGGCTAATCCATCAGGAAGCACACCTCGGCTAGACTGTCCATGGGATGCTGCTTCCTCCAAAGCTCTGTTCCTTGTTCCTCTCCTCCACGTTATGCTGCATGCTCCTGAAAACTGGGATTCCCCTTCTTGTCTACCCTGCCCTTGAAATAGAGAAATGTCTTCCCTGAAGACTCTTCTTCCACATGAGTGTTCCAGTTCTTGCTGGTAGCTTCAGCATTTGTATCCTCATGTTCATTGCTCGGGCCCATTTTTGCTCAATAACGCAGTCTTGTACGGCTTCAACAACATCCGTCAGGGTCGTTATGGTCCTAGATGCTAGAAATCCCAAATCAAGGTGTTAGTTGGCTGTGTCTTTTTCAGCTGATGTTGACTTTGTCTCCTCACTGATCAAAATCTGAGCATGTAGTGTCCTTCCTGGTCCCTGTGTCACACCGGAAGTGACAGCAGTTGTAAAAAGCAGAGGCACAGAGGACACTGACAGATGGCAGGTAAGTGAGCAGCTTTCGTCTCCAAAAGAGATGCTCAAACCCACGGTGACAAATGCGGAGGCTAAGAGACAGTGCAGCGGCAGGTGCTTTTGGGAGAAAACATGCCAGTACCCCTAGACTTATTAACAGTTTGCTTCTGTATTATTTTAAAGAGTAAAACTCTTATTGGAGACTAAGTTGAATTAAAAGGCAGCGTCCCTTGCTTGTTCTCACCTCCATTTCTGGCGGCCACCCTGGCTCCTGCCTTCCTGTGCTGAACATCACCACCCTCATCCCTAACTTCAGGTGGGAGCAGGCCACCTGCTACAGTCATCCAGCTCAGTGTTGAAAGTCCCAATCAAATTGCATGCTCTCTTCATCGGAAGTGAAGAAAAACGATGACTTTAGTAAGTTACGAACAAAACACATCCTTCCAGTCATTTCCATAGCAATTTAATCCACGTAGCAAACTCTAAGATTCTTTTACTCCTTTCTTGACTCTAACGAGTGGTGCAGAAACAAGGTCATAAAAAGTCACAAAAGGTGGATTTTTAGGTCTATGGAGATAGCTGACCAAGTGTTTGACTTGCAAATCCTAAGAATGAGTTCAATTCCCAGAACCCATGAAAGAAAGAAGAAGGGAGGGAGGAAGGGAGGGAGGGAGGGAGAAGGAAGGAAGGAAGGAAGGAAGGAAGGAAGGAAGGAAGGAAGGAAGGAAGGAAGGAAGGAAGAAGAAAGACAACAGTGCACCCTTGAGATCACAGCACTGAGAATCACACAGGTGTACCCCTGGAGCTCGCTGGCCGCCCTGGTCAAATCAGTGAGTTTCAGGTCAAAGTGAGAGACTGTACCTAAAAGACAAGGTGGTCAGCTCCTAGGGACAATTCCTGAGAGTGTCCTCTTGTCTAGACACCACACACACACACAACACAAACCCACAAACTTTAAACATTTCTGCTCACATCTGTTTCTAGACCCCCTGCTCACTGTTAAGCCCTTTAACGCAGTTTGAAATGGGTGTGAACAAGATTGGAGAGTCGTATTGTAGTGGGGAGATTTTCATAGAGAGCAGACACAAGGATTTGGGCATCAAAGCAGAGGGAGGGAAAGGTCTGCAGGGACTTTGGGGATAGAAACCTGAGATTTGACCCCTCCCGTTGCTTCTGAAGCACTCTTGTGTTTGGAACCTAAACCAGACTCAACTTGCTGAGCCTTGACCTACTCGGATCCACCCAGACCACAGCACAAGAGGGAAGCTGGAGGGATGTTGATATTGGAAAGAGCCATAGGCAGGGCCGTCACAGTCCTGGGCTTCAGTGCAGGCCCCTGTCTCACAGTGGCTCTGAGCAAGCCCCTTGACCCCTCTGGCCCCATGTCTTCTTCTGTGAAATGGGGAGCAAGTGAGATGTGCATTCAGGAAGACACCTCATAAGATGACATAAGCAGTTCTGTCACAGTGGCCTCCACCACCTGTCAGCATCCTCCCTAGCTCATCCCCCTCCCAGCTCCTCTCTCCATGGGGTGAGTATTAGAAAAGACCTGCAAGGCCTCCATAAGCCCGAACACTCTACAAACAATTGAGAGAGTAAGTTTTACCCTTTACCCCGCCTCAGGCTCACCTGCAGAATTCGCCAGCATCCACAGGTCATTTCTGTATATCAGAAAGGAGCCGTGCCATGCTGGGCATTGCCCTTGCCAAACTCAGCTGCGGGCTCTCAGTTAGCTGCACCCCCTACATCATGCTGTTTCCTTTGGGTTAGAGATACCTTTACCTGGAAATTTCACTGTACTGTTTTTTAAGTTAGGCTCCCTGAACTGTTTTTGAGGATTTCCATGGGGCTCAGGACTGTCCAGGCAAAAAATGGTGCTTTACACTTTCCCAGCTACCGACGTGGTGCTGGGAAGTGACTTATATTATCTCAGCTGTCCTGTGCAGGTCACTACATGCAAGGTGCATGTGTGTTTATAAAGCGGAAGCCATGAGAAAGGAGAGTCATTCTGACTGCGGGATTCGACACAAAAGTCCAGTTTAAATTTGTCTAAGGGAGCAGGGCTCAGCAGCGCCTGGCGACTGTCAGAAGTAAGTGTTTACGAGATGAACAGCCATTCCCAATCACTAACAGGGGCCGTTTGAGTTTGAGTAGAGTCGAGTGCCTGTCATGTGAGCTGTAGGTCACAACCTATTGTCCTCAGATATTACCAGGGGCCCTTGAAAGGACCTCTGGGGACCTCTGGATAGGTGACTCGATGGGAAGGTCCCCACCCCAAGCTCAGCTGGGCATGACTGGATGGGAGCATAAGTACATTCAGAGGCTGTCTCTGGCAGAGGTTGGCCACCATCTCCCTGCCAACAGTCAAAATCTCAAATCTGCTCTAAGCGGGGTGGGGAAAGTCAGTTTCCGAGCTTAGGTTCTTGGCCCAACTGTGCTTCATATAAACACAGCCCATGGCTATTTCAGTTCTGGATTTTAGGGAGCAGCTGGAAGGCTATGACAAGAGCCAAGGGAAGGGTCTTGGCCCAAATGGCTGGTTCTCTGAGTGCTGGGGAAGAGGAAGCTGACGTATGACCCCTCAGATGGCAGAAGGGCAGAGGGGTTATCCCACTGACAGAGGACATGTGTCTCAGTTCTAGGAACCCTCTCTGCCTAGTTTGGCACTCTAAAAAAAATAAATATTTGGGAACTGGAGTAAAATTGCTACTCTATGAAAAGATAGAATTTTATGTCTCGATGCGTAGTATTCTGAATATGAGGGCCATCAGGGTGGCTACACACTTGCCACCACCAAGCCTGAGGATTTGGGATCAGTCCCTGGGATCCACATGGCGGTAGAAAAGAACCAACCCCTGAAAGTTGTCCTCTGCCCTGCACACGTGTGCTATGGTATACACAAATCTAAAAATTCAAAACAAGCAAAGCTCATTTTTAAAAATTATAATATGGTTCCCCAAAGGTCCTGCTTTTTATCGAAACCTATGCCTATTAGAGTAAGCCAGATCCCTACTTGTGACTTCTATCCTCCCCAAATCATCCTCTGTCCTTTTGGGATCACTTTAGGAAACACTGCGTCCTGCCTGGCAGGGAAACTTGTCCCTTGTCTAAGCTTCCTCTGGCAGGGACCTATCACCACTGTCAATATGGGAACAAAAGCTGTTTGTGTCTATATAGCACGCTGAGACAATTTCCCCCGCTGGATCCTGACAAATTAAACCCCAAGGCTGGAGGTGTGGCTCAGTGGTAGATCACTTGCTTAGAGTGAATACGGCTAGAGGGTTGATCCCCTGCACTACACACAAAATCCAGTTGAACCCTCACAACGATGTTCCTGTCGTGTTCCTCAAACTCTGATATATCCGCAGAGGCAGAGGGAAAGTCAGTATACAAAACAAATCCTCCCCTCTTCCAAAGGAAGCTGCCACTGCATCCAGTTGTGGGCTCCATCACCAATCCAGTATGTAGTATGGGCCTCCTGGGACCCAAGGGATAGAGAATGCAATGACGGAGACATGGTCTTCACCTTTGGAATATATGTTTGCAGTCCATGGGGGGGGTTGGGGGTGTGAGCACTCCAGGATCCAGGGTGGGAACTTGGAAGGAAGTGCCCACTAACCACAAAATTAGGCTTCTTAAAAATACTAACTTCCTTCTGGAACCGAGATAAAATGACAGTGGGGAAGGAGGGAAGTGGCTCCCAGAAAGGAAGGAACATGTGCATGCAAAGGCCCTGGGGCTGGCAGAGCCCAAGTATGGGCTAGGGTTGCCCCTCCTTCAGGCACAAGGAGGAACAGCTTCTTTAACCATGCTGGTCCCTCGGCTCAGCAAACCTCATCCCCCTGGTCCTGCAGGTGAACCACACCTGTTTTCTCTTCACTCTTTCTTTAAGACAATGGAAAACTCACCGGACAAACCAGGACACAGAGAGTATAGAGGCTCTTTCCCAGTAGGGCCACCAGGTTTGGCCTGGCTGAAAAATCAAAGCATCGGTTATTCAATAGCCCACATTTGTCCTCAACGCTTTCTACATTACAATGAGATGCCTAAACAGAAATACATATATATATATATATGTATATATATATATAAATCCTTTTTCATCAGACATTTTCTCAAACATGAGATGTTTAATCTAATAAAGTAACTGAAGGCTTGGGAAGACTCAGCAAGGGAGTTGTAGGGAAGGCGATTCAGTGCTATTAAAAGCAGAGAAACTGCCGCAGGAAGGACACGTTGCACAACACGCTTGGCAAGAAGGAGCTTTGTCCTGCACAAGTACTCGGTGAACTGCGTCGCTACGATACCACAATGGCTGCCTCCCATGCCAAAGAGGCAGCAGCTGATTCTGCCAGGACACGTGTTCAGCCAATGGTGTTTGGTGATGATTATAAACCAAACACAGCCCGGGAGGTGGAGGAAAGAGCAGAAAAAGCAAAGGACCTGAACTACACTTTTGCCATCGGCCAGCGCTTACTGACTTGACTTGCTAGGGCACGGGAAAAGCTTATCTTAGTAAATAAGGCTGCTGCTATTCAGACACGAACCCTGACGTTGGCTGGCCTGCTGCAGCTTTTTCTGCCTGTCTCTTCCTCAGAGCTGCTGAAAAAAAACACAAACACAACATTGCTAGGCTGCTGGAGATGCAGATGTGGGCTGCCTGGCTGGTTTTAGCTGCCCTGACTCTCTTGTAACCTTGACGATTGTGACACGTAAGAGTCCCAGGAGGTAGAGTTCCTAAGCGCCCGGTGCCCACCAGCTCCAGGGTTTGTCTTTGGTCAGTGGACTTGACTATCACATTTTCTTCCGTTGGGAGCCTGGTATGTGCTCTGTGCTCTATAAGGGAGAACTCTCTACCATGTGAAAATAATATATTCGTGTGTGTGCATTGCTGTACTTGAATTGTGTGCACTGTTGTGTATTGATGCATTTAGGCAACACCCAGAAATCTACAAAGGCTTGGAAGCATTTCATTTCATTTAAATGCACTCCATACCCTTGGAATGTGCTACTTAAGTGTTTATAATTTTTTTTTACACACCATTTTTACAGGGCCATTTGTTTATGATGTGACATGGTAAATAATCATGTTGGTTTTATGTTCTTTTTGTTTCTCAAGAAAATAAATGTACATATATTAAGCAAATGAATAAATTATTAAAATATGGACTTTATGATTGTGCCCACTGTTAAGAGTAAATTTATTTAATTTGTTTCATAATGTGACCGTCCCGGTGATGAAAATTTATATGTCCCTTATGCATATTGATGCCATGTATTTAAGCTTTGTTCCATATTGATGAGTGCTCCCTAATAAAATATTTTAAACCTCTTTCTCTAAATGCATAACGCCCTCATTGTTCAGTTGTGACATGCCGGGGACACGTCTGGGGACAAAGGGAGTGGGTGGCCAAGAAGAGGAAAGCTGCTGCTGAGTGACTTATGGGAGAATGGACTTGCAATGTGCAGGACGGCAGCTTTCAGGACACAGGCCAGATGACCAGGTCATCAGGCTTAGAGGAAAGAAGCCAGAGAAGGAAGTCATAGAAATCCGACATGGAGATGTTAAATATGTTCTGGGCAGAATGTATTGAGTGGCCCAAAGCCAAGGCAAAGAGCAGAGCAGCCAGTGGTCAGAA